CTGTTGTAGTGATGATGAGCCGAGGTTATAAGTAAATGGATAAAACATCAGTCGATGATTGGCTCGCGTGATGCCATGCGCGATCAGCCGACTTCGCTTAGCTTTGAGCGCCTTCAAATGCGCAGACGATTATAACAGCGCGTATTCGAAAGGCGCGACATCTTGATACGCTTAATGCCTGGCGCTTCCAATTTGCTCGTACGCGAAAGAATAAGTAATGAAGAGGTAGTGGTAGCAGTGTTTCTTGCCTTCACTACCTCTCCTGTTGGAGAGGTAGTGAAGGCAAGAAACACGGCTCTCTCCTCTTACGTAGGTGCCAAATGGGTGGCCCGAAAAGGCGCTGAAACGATAATCTGCGACTTTATAAAGTGTAGTACTTGCGACGATGACGGCGAGCCTACGTGGCGGCGGTGGCTTTCCCTTGGAGCAGCACAGACGGTTGATGGCGAGGCTTAGCCACCATCCCAGGATCAGGGTGACGAAGACGATGCCGATCTGCTGAAACAAGGACGCGAACAGCGTCGTCGCCTCGAAGACCAGAAAGATGCAGGGCGTCACGATAAAGTACAGCTTCAAGACGTGCATGGCGAAGCGCGGATGCACTTGACAGGAGGTTTCATTCGCGAGGACGAGCCCCGGTGCGATGGACGGCTAACGAACAGAGCGCGCTCGCGAGTGCTCGTGCAATGATGACGATGATGACAGCATGCCTTCAGAACGTGTTATGTTGGTTGGTTGGTTCCTCCTAGGTAAGCTGGCACAGTTCACCAGGAATGATCGCTCATAAAACGGGTGGCACCTCGTTTTGGAAACTAAATTTTCATAAATTGAGCGAAGCTGTTTCGACCATCTAGTAACTGGTGCAGCGCCTTCCAAATCGGCTCAGGTGAGTATGCGCCGCAGAAACTGAGCGAGCACCGCTATCTAGTAGAGCAGATGCGAGAGTTCAATGGAGACTTTGTCTCCCTTCCCTCTCTGCTCTGTATCTTTCATCTCCCCCATCCCCCTCGCAGGGTAAAAAACCGGCTGCCTATAGGCTGGTTAACCTCCCTGGCGTTCTTTTCCTCCTATTTTTCTTCCGTCCTTGCTAGGCGAGGTACAGCCCGTGAAAGAGATAGAGGGCGAAAAAAGGAAGACAATGAAACAAGAAAAAAAGTAGTGAGAGAAAGAAAGCGGCGAAAGGAAATAGAAAAAAATAATGAAAAGAATGAAAATATAGGAAGACAGACAGAGAAATACTTAAAAAAAAATAAACAAAGAAGAGATTAGAAAAACGAAGAACAAGTCTGAAACAAAAGTATCAGAGCGTGAGACACAGACAGAGGAAGAGATTAAAGCGTGGGGATCGAACTCTAGGTGTTGTTTTGTTTTTTTTAATCTACTGTGTGGGCCGGTTAGTCTGTGCCGAACCAGCGTGCATCAATTAAAAGCTACCGGGTGCCATACTCTGAAGCTTCCGCAAGCCTAGCTGCTGAGGTTGTCACGCAGAAGGTTTGTGTTAGGCTGACGCTGCGGGCTTCAAAAGGCTTGTCTTGCCGAGGCTGACTGCATGACGTCAAGACCCCCCTAACTTTTTTGTTCGTGAACAAAAGAGGGCGATAGAAAGATCGAGAAGGAAATATATTGAGAAAGAAATAAACTAGATGAAAGAAAGACACAAAAATTAAAAAGAGAAAAAAGGGAAGAGTAGCACGGAGGGCCCACCAGCTGCGCTCTTCCTACAAGCTTGGCTACAATAGTATGAATTGCCATAAATTTTGTAAATAAGTTTGCAAATACATTATTGCAAAAATGATGTGTTGTAGAAAGAACGAAAAATAACAATAACAGAAATAATATTACCAATTACCTTGTGCGCGCAGATAGACGACAAAGTGCTTCATTATTCAAGTCATTGCTTCGCATTTAAGAGGCGTGTGTTTAAGCCTACAAAGCATGTGTCCATGGTGCAGTGGATGGCGTGCCCGATATTTGTCACTGACCAATGGGTCATGGGTTCAACTGCCATTATTAAAACTTTTTTCTTTACTTTTTGCTCACGTTTTCTTAAGCCGGCATTCCCGGGATGGAAATACTTGACCCAATCTTGCTGGACCCCAGCATAAAACAGTGTCTTGTTGAAAGAAAACGAACAGAAGCCAGTAAAAAACAATGAAAGTACTAAAACAGTACTCACTAGAGGGTTTTTGATGAAAAGCAAATCTTTAACACACTAGAAAATGTATTGGTAAGCGTGAGTCCCTTCTGAAATGGTAAGCACTGTATGCTTTCTTAAGAGATAGTTTTGGTTTCTACTGTACCTGACGTAGGAACATCCTATGCTATGCTCACTACACGCTCGCGCAATATACTATGACATTTCTTTTGGTGACGCACAAGTGGCCATCTTGAATATCTTAGCGACTCACAAGGGGCCGTGTATGTAGTTTTAGTCCCCGATGTAACCATAACTAGCCAGACAGCTACTTGGAGCAATCATAATCAATACTGCAGCCTGACTTGAAGCTTGTTCTGATGCCCATAGGTGCGTGATGAGATAAATTACTTTAATATAAAGATAACATATTTTGTCAGCATTTGCCGGCCTTCCCGCTGGCTCAGAGAAGTTTTATCTGTATTCAGGAGATTTGTATGACAGAGTAAACTCACCTTCAAAAGCAGGTATTGGTAACCTTCGAAAAGATTGCGTGAGTCAGCTTCATTAATAACTCGATCCGAACAACTCAGAATAATGGTACTACAGTTTAACACAATGTGTTTTCGTTACGTTTTCACGTTGTAAACTTGAAAAAAATCACTACCCAAGCACTCCGTAGAGATGATTATTCAACAAAGCTGAAGCACGCGGCCATAGGTGGTTACAGGCGTTGCAGCCGAACCCAAAGCGCCACTGGAGAACGTCCCGCCGAAAGGGGGCCCCGGCTCCGGCGAGCGAGTTTGCGCCATTGCCATGTGGACGCTGCTCTGCCCGCAATGCCACTTTTTCGGCTCGCCGCTGTCGCTTACATTAAGCTCGGAAGGCTGCCGGATTCCCGCTTGGCAGTTGCTGCTTGCGTTTCGACAGCCGGGTCTGTTTTTGCACGTGGACTGCTGCATCAGCCCAGCGAACATGAATTCTTTCCCCGATCAGTTGTCGGCGCTGTTCTTGGAAAGTTGTCTGCTGTTTGGGCTTTCGAACGATCTGTGCCCTTCTCCTTGTGGAACTTGTAAATTGAAACTGCTGCACGCACGTTAAAGAACCCCAGGTGGTCGAAATTTCCGGAGCCCTCCACTACGGTGTCTCTCATAATCATATGGTGGTCTTGGCACGTTAAACTCCACATATCAATCAAACTGCTGCACGCGGGTTTGGCAGCATGGTTGCGAAAATATGAACGTCACTGAAAAGCAGAACCAATCAGTACCACTGTCCTCATTCCCTAAGACCAACATTCACAAGGACTGACAGTTTTCGCTACTCCTTTTTCCGACAAACTATAACTGATTGGAATAAACTAACGAAAGCATTCCCCGAATGCCCATGAACCATTTGTGCAAATACTGTTGTTCTTTTATTACTTCCTTAGAATTGTATTACGACCAGGTTGTTTTTTTACAACCAAAAACATTTCGTAAAAACAATTTCAAATCTTGTTTTCTGTTATTGTTATGTGTTTTGCTCACCCTGCTTGGACGTTTGGTCTGCAGTATTTAAAAAATAAAAAAAATAAAAAAATAAAAATAACGCAGCCAATGGCACGCGTACTTGCGTACGACTCTGAGAAGTGTATCACTAACGACTCTTCTAATGGTTCGCGCGTTTGGGTATGGCGTTGTTAGCGACGTAAAAGACGACACAGCAAATTGAGACCGTCAATTCTCTCGTGGTGAACATTTTTTTATATCGTAATTCAACATGGAGCTTTCCCTGAATAGTAGGGTTTGAAAAGCAGTGATTAAAATCACCCATGTTTTGTTGTTTACATAAAACCGCAAATGAAATCAACCACGTACCTTGGGCAGTATCTCGGAACAAAAGCACTGATTTTGTAATACATGTTTATTCGCCATGGTAGTCAAGTGGTTAAGGCATTGGGATGCTTACCTTGGGGTCAGTGGATTGAATACCGGGGTGTCTGAATTTAGACGGGTGCTTGGGGCCTGTTTACCTAAATTTAGGTGCACGTTAAAGAACACTGTATAATTGCAATTTCCAGAGCACGCATCTATGACGTCCCTCGTAAACAAACTGCTGTTAGGTGCGAAGCAGCTTTTGTAAGAGACTGTGTTCATCCCTCCCTTATGCGCATGCGCCAACTCTCCTCCTCTCCTTTTCCTGTGAACGTATCGTGAGGGCTGCCTTCACTTCATATCTGTCTCTCCGTCACAATTGTGCGCTCGTATATAATTGGCCGCATGCTCGCTCCCATTGAGGCCACTTCATTTTGATTCTCATGACAACATAGTAATTACACCATCTCCCACTAAAGAAAACTTGTGGGGATGCGAAAGAGCACTGGGTGTTTGGTGTTCACTTTGTGGTGCGATGAATACACACATGCTTACACACACAAAATTAAGGGGGGGGGGGGTAACTTAAGTGGTACACAACGTATACACAACTCCACACACAAGGGAAACATACATGGAAGCATACAAATGGAACAACAATGAAAACATAAGTGAACACCAAGCACTGCTTCACATCCTCGCATGGTTCTCTATAGTGAAAGATGTAATGTTTTTGGAAGTGAAATACCAACATATACACTGGTACTTATATGCCGCTTTCATTACATTTTCTGGGTAGCTGAGTGCTTTCTTATGCAGCTCTGGGTCATGAAGCAAACTGCTATTTTCCGTGTGGTAATGTGTCGGTATTCAGCAGGCTATTGTACGGGCGTAACAACATTTTGCACTTCGCAAATACCTATATGGTCGTTAACACTTTCAAATGCATCGGCGACATGTTTTTACAAGTACTTACATTTCGCGAGATCAGTGGAAGATGATGGTATTACACAAATCAACGTGACATCGTTTATTAGCCGCTTTGGTAACTACAGAGAAGTTTCTTATGCCTTCGGTAAAGAATTGAATGGTACATGGCATCATGCCCTGATCAACAAAATATCGAGCGATGCCCTGTAGCCGTACCAAATTTACTATCTCAGCGAACTGAAAGAAGCAGTTCAAAAGAAACTCCACGCTAATTTATTCCATGCTTTCCTCATTGTCATGTCTACAGGCGTTGATTCCTCTTCAGAAAGGAAGCTTGAGATGCAAAATTACTTTATGCCTGGAAATCTGAAGGCTTGCGAAGGTATCAAATCGGTAGTGCACTTGAGAAAATTTCTGCAAATAGAGCTTTCTCTCGTCTGACAAAATGAGTGTTTGAATAACTATTTCATACAATTTTTAATTTTCTGCCCTTATCAGGAACAAGAACTTTACAAATCGTAGCAATAAAGTGTAGATAACGAAACATTACCCAGTCAAACATCATTTCAGAAGAACTCAAAGGAATCAGAAATGTGTAGTTAGCGTGAAATTTCTCCAACTGCCAACAACTAATTACTGCATTTAGCATACCAAAAACACTGCAATAGGCTGCGTATTGGTGTAAACCTGCCTGAATAGAAAATGTTGATGCGTCACTCTCAGCGTAACACACATTGGTACATTGGGAATCGGAATTAAGACACAACACCTTGTTCAGCCCCGTAAGCCCATGGCCACAGGATCAGAACATCATGGTTCCAAAATAGCAAAGCTTTTCTGCCGGAAGTTCTTATTGCCAGTTTACCGAAGCTTTTGGTAACGTTGTGTCCTGCGCCCTTAATCGCTTTCCCTCAAAGTGGGATCGCCAACCGTACGTGGACATGGGGTGTTATTGTTGACAGCGTGAACTTTTACAGTACTTTTATGGTCGCTAGTGGTGGCATTCTAAGCTAATCAGAAAGGCACCCTTCTGGATAAGTCAGAGTCGACGAATGGCATAGTTGGACAATGTCCAGAATCAGACTCCTAGTTGAGCTCCTGCCTTTGCATCCTTGCCCCAGTACCTGTCCGATACTATAGGGTATACTCAATTATGCTCGTGCAAACTATAGTGACGCAATAGCATCCTGTGTTTAGGACTCCTCTTCTTTTGCGTTTACGCTTGTAAGTTGCAAATTCCCGAGAGGCAGGAGGATTTCTTGCTGCCTGTGCGGGCGTTGAAGAGGTCGACGAGTCGCTTCGACACGGTGTCCACGGCCCTCACTTGGGCCCTAGATATGGGGCGCAACGGATCACCGGGTGTCAGCCTGGAGACGGCCGACACGGGGCTGATGGGCGACAATGGGTTCAGGGGGTTCCACGGGCTCAGTGGACTCACGGGCGACGGGCTGAAGATGCCCGGGCCGCCGTTCAGCTTGCTGCGCCGGCCGTAGGCACGGAACGTGTCGGGAATGATCATGAATATGTCCTTGATCTCATCGACGACCCTTGATGATCTCGGTTGTTCTGCGCAGAGATAAAATGACAAGCACGAGGCTCAGCTACGGCAGAGTGGGGGAGGGGTTACCCTCTGAAATGACTACGTATCACTAAAGAGCACTAGCACGACGTTGAGATGTGGCAGAGCTGTAAGCGAGCGGTCTGAAAAAATCTATATTTAAAAAGATATTTAAAAGGCTTTTAAAACATGTATACACCATATATTTCGGACTTCATACGCCTGAGTAAGATTTTTTATTGAAATGCAAAATAAACGGAGTTGTCACCGTTACTTGGTGATTGTACCCCTTTCCAATTGATTGTTTTAAATAAAGAGTGAAAAACGAATTAGCATGTATACATATACATTCCTGCATAGGTGAGTACAAAAGTTCTCATACGGGCAGAACAAACACGTAGCCGCCACACTCACTTGTAACTATATAGCCCGTTCATTAGCGGTCACAAATCTTCGTTTCTTCAAAAAAAAAAAAAACGTTGAAGCGCCTTGATTGCTTGGCGATTCATTTTAGATAGCCATGAGCCTAGTGTTTTACCGAACGCAAAAAGTTCGCTCGGGATCTAGTAAGACGTTTGTAGTTATGCTTGTTCCATTAACTGTTACTGCTTCTGTGTACTATACTCGAATGCGTTAGCCCATTTTATTACTGGCTAGGAAGCTGACATGTGTGAGAGTTGGCCAGTTTTACCTCAAGCTGCTAATTGCACCTCTATTTCCTGGTAATGCTTGTAATCAAGTTGGAATATAAGTTTAGTAGCATTCAATTTTCGTTTAAAATTTATCTTGGTGCAGAAAAAACATGTCATTGAATGTCCTAAAGCAAACAAACTTCACACTCTATCTATCTATCTATCTATCTATCTATCTATCTATCTATCTATCTATCTATCTATCTATCTATCTATCTATCTATCTATCTATCTATCTATCTATCTATCTATCTATCTATCTATCTATCTATCTATCTATCTTATCTATCTATCTATCTACTATCTATCTATCTATCTATCTATCGTATCTATCTATCTATCTATCTATCTAGTCTATCTATCTATCTATCTATCTATCTATCTATCTATATCTATCTATCTATCTATCTATCTATCTATCTCTCTATCTATTATCTATCTATCTATCTATCTATCTATCTATCTATCTATCCTATCTATCTATCTATCTGTCCTGTCTATCTGTCTGTCTGTCTGTCTGTCTGTCTGTCTGTCTGTCTGTCTGTCTAGTCTATCTATCTATCTATCTATCTATCTATCTATCTATCTATCTATCTATCTATCTATCTATCTATCTATCTATCTATCTATCTATCTATCTATCTATCTATCTATCTATCTAATCTATCTATCTATCTATCTATCTATCTGTCTGTCTGTCTGTCTGTCTGTCTGTCTGTCTGTCTGTCTGTCTGTCTGTCTGTCTGTCTGTCTGTCTGTCTGTCTGTCTGTCTGTCTGTCTGTCTGTCTGTCTGTCTGTCTGTCTGTCTGTCTGTCTGTCTGTCTGTCTGTCTGTCTGTCTGTCCGTCCTTCCGTCCGTCCGTCCGTCCGTCCGTCCGTCTTACCCGAGATAGATTCAGCAGCCCTCTTGCGGCCGGTCAGTTTCTCTGTTAGGTGGTTCTGAAGGCGTCCGGCGATACTTCTGAGTGCATCGAGTGTGCTAACGAGGGAAAGTGCGTTGGGCAGTTCTTCAGACGATGCGCCTGCAGATGTCAAGTAGCTGTGCAGCTCGTTGAGTGTCTGCATGTATTCGGGCTCCTGGCTGCGTAGACATAAGAGGCCACGTGACAGTAGCGGTGTAAGTCGCACGAGCTATTACACACAACCATGGGAAGAAGAATCATAGGTGCAAACGTTAAGAAAAAGAAGAGGGTCGCAGGTCACGGCAGAAATGGGTTAAAAAACATCTTAGTAGACGTGAAGAAGAAAACGTTCGCATGGTCTGGTCACGTCGCGCTCAGCCATGCCCATGTTTAGCACGCAGGCCATCAAGAGTAACAAAATGAATTCTAAAAAAAAAAGCCCGCTTGTTTCAAGGAGACAGAAAATTTGATGGGGGAAGATGATGTTGACGAAAGGACGAGCCACCATAAAAGCCCACCATCAAAGTCCTAATTATTTCAATACTGAGTCAATCTTAACGGTGATACTGGAACTCGCCGTCATATACAGATTATTCAACTGATGACATTAAGGGGATTGCGAGGATAGCGTCGCCTGAGAAAGCACAGGACTGGGTTCACTGACGAAACGTGGGATTGACCTTAGCCCTGCAGTGGATGTAGTGGGACTGACCATGGTGATGAATACACAAAATATAAATTATAAATTTGATTTCTGGAGTATGGAAAGGGCAGATTTGTATTTATTATACGAGGGAATCAAGGCTAGAAAAAAGAAAGGATTGAAACCTTTGACAAATAGCTCTTAGTTTGGCATTCGGCAATGGATTTCGAATCAAAGGGCAATATTTTTCGAGTAAAGTGTCCTAAGTTGTTCTCTAAGATGCTCAACGCCATTAGCCAATTTCTAGGTAATTCACACAATCACACTTCACTGAATAGTCAGCAAACTAATAGCAGCACCTGTGGTGCATAAAACGGAAATCAGGTACTCAACAGAAAAGAGGGTACTCAGTATCTGCAGTGCAAAGAAAAGTGATAATTGTAGATACCCAAACGAATCAGAATGGCGTCTTGGTATTCGTTTCTTCGCGCTGAATTTAAGTAGTTTATATTCTCACCATTACCGACTAGGCCACGAAAGGACAAATGAACTTCCAAGTTAATATAAGAAAATCTGAGTTGATATTTGCTGCTTCATAGCTCAAGTGTGCCTGAGCACAATTTTCGGAGGAGTGACTATCTCTCATTACTTTTTATCGGGGTTTGATGCTCCCAATACCAGATATAATTAGTTGGGCGGACTTCACTGCAGGAAAGCTAGAACCACAGTTATAAAAACTAAACAGCTTATGATCCTTCAATTCAAGGACAGTTTGTCTTGAGAATGGCTGGCGGTCCCAAAGAGTTATCGCCGTCTTTAGTCACTACAGCTAAGTGATCCAATGAAAACACGAGACTGATAACCGATGTGTGTGGTTGGTTTACACTGACCTCTCCTCCTTGACCTCTTCGACCTTGTCACGAGCGTTGGCGAACCTGCTGGGCAGAGTGCGAACCATATGGAACAGACCTCGGGCTCTTTCCGGGTACTCCCGCAAAACTCCGGCCAGGTCACCGTGCAGGATTCGTTGCATGTCGCTCATCACGCGCCTAAAGTCGAAGATCACCTGCGAGACATGTAGAACACATGAGTTGCGAGTCAACATGCTATGAAAGGTTGCGAACATGGGGTGTCGCTTGATCCACCGTTTTGGCAAGGCGACTTGGCCTCGCCAGGTCTGCAACTTGGGCTATAGCTACAACAACAGGGTCAACTGCAACAGACCTCCAACAAGGCTGAAACTTGCTGCCTCGAAGCAAACAGGGCCGCTGTCCGAAACGTCGCCTCACTAAACACCCTGTCTTCACAAAACTTCCATCGTCCTCGGAACTTTTGACTTTATTTTTAAGTAACACAAAATGAGATGGAAAATAAAGACAAGCTGCGAATCTTAGACCCATAAACAGTGACAATGGTTCTAACCAGTGTTGTGTACTTCTAGTATACCAACATAACACAAAATTAAGAATGAATGCTGAATGTATGAACCCCAGTAAGAGCCTCCTTGATTATTTTGAGTTTCGGTGGTGGCCTTCGAGCCAGCTGCGGTGCCCCAAAACACTAAAAAACTATCATCACGACGGCGAGTTTTCTCCCTTGTGAGAAAAGCACAGTGCTGTCCCGGCAGCCACGGCCTCCACTGAAGGGTCTGTGCCCCAAAGACATTTGTTGCCATATTGGGTGTGGCCTTGCTCGCAAGCTTCAAAGCGCGAAATACTGCTACTGTGCAGAAACCATTGGTTATCTCTTGTGCAAATGTCCTCAATTTGAATGAGGCCGCTAGATTACTGGACTCCCCGGCATGTCTTGATGAGACCAAATGATCGGCCTTTTACATCTAGAGAGATCTTGGGAGCCTGGTCTCACAGCGCCGCAGCTTAAACACCGCCCGAGTCCTTTTGCAGTATTTGAACACAACAGCATTGAGTCCCCACATGTGCAACGCTGCACTGTTTGCGTGTGCTCCGAATTGGGACTTAACTTGCATCATTGTTTTTGTCTTGCTTTTACTCTCTTCTTCTGCTCCCCATGTGTAAGGTAGCAAACTGGATTTATAGTCTAGTTAACTTTCCTACCATCATTAAATTCGACCTTTCTCTGTCTTAAAGCGTTAAATAGCTCATATGAATTCAGCAAACTTTCTTGAAACCAAAACAATTTTGGCTTCGTGTTCACAGAAACGCTTCACACAAAAACTTTCCTTAGAGACTGTTTTAGCCGATCACGATGTAGAAATTGTAATTTGTGAGGCTGGCTATACATGGGAAAACGCAATTACAAAAAAAAAAAGGTTTGCGAATTCGCTCCCTTTAGATTTTTACGCCTAAGCAACCACGTTATTTCTAGACAAGCTTTTAACGATTACCAATTAATTGATTGCCCCCCCCCTTCTTTTTACTTATCATGGTCATTGAACGATCGCGGTGCATTTAGCTTCCATGAAAGTGGTGACAATGATGAAATGACAATTCTGGTGCATTTACGCTGCAGTAGCTATGGGAATAAACCTAACCGTGAAGCTCAGCAATATTGCCAGGAAAGGTACTGGGTGATCAGGACTGGTTCAAAAAAAGTAAACCTAGGCTCAAAGCAATTTTCCTTGAACGAAGACAACGATACTTGTAGCTAGTGTACTTTAATGAGTGCACGTAAATGTTTTCCAGCTTACCTGCAGAATCTTCACGACTTCGACAAGAACGGTTGGGTGCTTGTCAATGGGCCTGACTTTGGTGAAAGCGTCCGTGATGCTGCTGAGATCCGGAATCGTGGGAGCCTGTGGAATGGGCGGCTTGGATTCTGCTGGAGGAGCAGGTGCTTCTTTCTTCGTCTCAGGTTCTACAGGCTTGGCAGCCTCTTTCTTTGGAGGAGGTGGCAGGTCATCTTCGACAGGTTCTTCTTCTTCAGAAGACTCCTCCGGTTCCTGGACACTCGGCTTCAACTCGCTCTGAAGCCTTCCCAGCTCCTGTCTGGCACACTAGATCCGAAAGGAATTCTGTTAAAACATCAGCAGTCGGCAACCAAAAAAAGGTAATACTGTCAAGAAAAATCCAGTGGACTATCCATAGAATTGCTTCTCAGCCATCTTATAATACCCCTGAAACGAGTTTAGAAATATTGGCGTCTGTGATCGGGGCCTCAAACTCAGTTCAGCTAGCAAAATGCCATCTCAGAATGGGGGGGGGGGGGGCAGAGGAAGTTAGTTTGTGTCAGTTAACGTTGCCATTTGAAAGGCGGCCTTTCACATATTGTATATGGGTCGTTTTAGCCGAAATTTAGCCAGAGAATTTGGACACCTAACCATAACGATTTTCAGAATGAATTATATATGAGGTTAAATATAAAGTGATTGCTTTAGGGTTTTTCTTCACCACAGCGTGACTTCATGAGAAGCTTCACGAAAAAAATTGCATCTGATCAGTAATTGATTGGCAGTTTATGAACACGTCAAAAAATGAACCGGCGATTACGGCACAGCCTATTGCCGATTCTGAGCACTGATTCTTGTTTGTTCAACGCCAACTGTGTTTGAAATTTTGGCTGCTTTATCCCTGGTAGGAACCTGTTCGTGCGGCGTGATATATGCGAACGAATCTAGCCAATGTAAACAAATAGTGCTTATCCTGAGCTTGTGAGCGTATTGATGTGTTCTGACTAAAGGCTTCGGTGATCTCCCATCTCACCCATATCGCAATATATTAAATCACTATGAAAACATCGGGGCACCTTCAATGTTCACACTGTGACTGCAATTGTTTACCACTATGTCACGCGTACGCGCCACTACAGTTCTATACCAGAAGCACGCTTTCGACTGAAATAGTTTCATTTTGAGACATAGATGCATTGAGAGCCCTGTTTTGAATGACTTACCAGTGTAAAGGCCTCAGCTGGAGCAACCAAGCCGTCTTCCTGAACATGCAAGAAAAAGGTACTTAGGAAATATTGCCTATTGAAACAGTATGTCAATTCTTTCTTAGCATAATGATGATCTCGTGTGTTGAGACCCTTAGCTACATAGGCCTCCGTTTCACACTTTATCTTTTCATTAAATGTTGGTTAAGATACATGTATCGAATATTTATTTTTTACGGTTAACCCTTGCAAACATTTTACTTAACATGAAGCACTTTATGGCGTATGTCATGTCGTAGCAGATTCGAAAGATAATTTAATATCTCTTGCACGAGGAGGCTGAGTTGTTTAGGTTGAATTACAAACAGGTTCCCTTTCAAGCTGCAGGATTGCCTCAATAATAGTTGTTATTTTTACTAGTGAAGGAATCGCTTGCTTTCTCTATAGTGCGTACACTGTCAAGCTTGATTTTTTTTGGTTGGGGTAGTAGTGTAAGCTGTGATCTATCTTTAAGTTGAGAAAAAATCATATCGAAGACGTGAGGGAAGCACAAATGTTATCTAAAAAGATAAAAAAAGAATGGAGATGTTTATAGACGTATATTCCAACTTCTGTGCGAGTCTTACAGCGACGATTTAAGCTCACGACTATTGTCTACGCCCTTCAAATGCCAAATGGTTTCCTTCAAAGAGCAGATGTAAGACAACGGGTTCTTGTAATGCTCGCTTGGTACTTACAGTTTCTGTCACCCCTTCTTCTGACTTGAGACACTGCGCGAAACAAAAAAAAAAAAAAAAAGCTTTTACCATATGTTGAACCTTCAAATGAACTCAAGCACCATAAGTGCACATACAAAGGCGAATGCAAAGTGCCCACGTGTTCAAGCACATACAAAGCTATGTCGCGGGATGGAATCCCGGCTGCGGCGGCTGAATTTTGAATGAAGGCGAAAATGCTGTATGCTCATGTGCTTAGATTTGGGTACACGTTAAAGAACCCCAGGTGGTCGAAAATCTCGGAGCATTCTACTTCGGCGTCTTTCGTAATCATATTGTAGTTTCGGGACGTTAAACCGCACATATACACCAAGCACAAACAAAGCTGCCACGAGTTTTTCGAATTAAAATATTGTATCTAGCCAATCCTGATATATTCGGTCCCTGCGGTGTCCGCCGAAAAACAGTGCCATCTGTTATGTTGTTCAGGAGGTACTGCTGACCACGCCTGACGCGGAACAAGGTTGGACTAAGAGGAGCTCCGCTTATAAACTTATCTACCTATGATCTTCGCGGAGATGATTAACCAGCTAACCTGAAACATGTGGCACCGGTGTTTATCACGAGCTGAAAGTCATGGAAGCGTCTTCTGATGCAGCTTTTGATTTATGACCACATTTATGATATGCGCGCTTCCAACTTAGCGTTTCACGAGTTAATGATGTTAAGAACGCCCCAAGGATTTTACCGTGAACGATGCATGGTGCGGCGAGCATCATCCCTGGCTATGTGTGCTCACAACACCGAAGGCACACTTGTGCGAACATAGGAACCCTTCGAGCTTGTGATAGCTGGCAATCCTTCTTTATTGCGATTTCGGCACACTCAAAGGCCACTCCATTTTCTGACCTCCGAGCAGTAGTATTGTATGTGGAACCTGTGCTATGTAATTCCGGTGAACAAAATGTTCCTTTTTCGAGCGGTATGCAGACACGCTGTGAAAAGGACTCACCTCTGGTATTGCGGATTGACTGGGAACATCCGTCTTTACGAGTTCATTACTGTCTGGAAGCTTGATGCTGATTGGTACGTTGTCAACAAACTTGACGGCAGGGGCGCCTGCAGTAGGCGGCACATGGAAAGTATTTTACCTTTTATTGAAACAAGGCAGAAGTTCAGGGGAAGCTTTGGATGCTTGGATTGATGAAAAATTACTGAACGGGAGATTTTGCTGAAGGCGAAGTTTCGGCAAGTGTTTCTGTCTTTTTCAAGAAAGCAATGTAGTGGTGGCTTAGTAGAAACTTGTGGTCAACGAAACAACAAAAGCTCCTGCCTTTTTCAAGACTCTTCAAGTCATTGCCTTACTTATGGCTGGTGCCTTGATTGCGAAAAGAACCTTGAAGAAGGCAAGGTTTGAAAAAGCATAAAAAAGGACAAAACCACCTAATGCTTTGTTGACCTCTTGTTGACTACTCGTTATTTAAGGCAGAATACACGATTTTTTGAAATGTAGGCTCTGACGACATCCACTGCTCAAGAATTTTAGTCTCTTTTAGCATTACTCGTTCGCAACGCATTTTTTAAAACCATCTAGAGGTTTTGCATACATTGATAACGCTATAATTTTATCTGTGAAGAACCCATACTGCATTTCTTAACATCTGACAAGTCACTCATTAATTACATAGACAGAAACGGTGTTCATTCAATTAGTAATCAGTATAAGAGAAGGGTGAGGCGTCGGAGCAACTTTTTCTCTCAAAACATAAAGTTGGCCTCAAGTACTGTGCCTCATAACGGTGACACTTTCAACATCATCTTAAGCAGTGTTCATAGTATTATGAAGCTTCATTGCAAGTCATAATTCTGCCAAAATTTTTGCACTACGATCTTCACAACCCTTGTCCTGGCGACACATACATTGCAACTTATTTGCACAATTTGCAAAAAAATTACATTGACAAAAAGAGAGAATAAATTGCTCGCGAAACATATTTTTCTGCTTGGAATAGGAACAATTTTACTTTCTAAAAGAAAATTCCACCTATCGTATTATTTCGCCAAAGTCCAATGACAGTCTGCTAACATCTGTAGTCCCTTCAGATTCATATCAAGATATCCCGCCATCAACGGACAGAATTCGATACGTTGATCAACTTTATGCTCATAATGTAATTTGACAACACCTTTTCAACATTCATGTAACTTCATTTTACCTGCACGAAGTGGAAGGAGCTACTAAATGAGAGATGACGGTCGTTCAATCTCCATATACTCGGATAATAAGACCAGGTTTACCTAAGCTACGTGCATTACCGTTACTTTATCGTAATTGCTTCAGCTATAAAGCAACCCACTTTGCTTACCTTGTGATAACGGCACCACGATTGCAGCGACTGCTACGAGCAGTAGCATTCTCATTCCTCTGTTTACCATGACTAGCGTCCACAAATCTGAAAAAAGAAGACGTATAAATTGAGCTTTTATGGTTTTGCATTACTGCACAAAATAAATGAGCAGTACTTCACTGTGAAACTTAAAGGTAAAAAAAATGTTTTTAATCGGTGTTATCGATCTGTAACAAGATACGTTTTGAGTGGCATCAGCCCTGGTGATGTTTATACAATAACGGAACATCTTAAATCACTTCATTTTCGAGTTATGATATCAGTTGTAAAAGACGCTGAAACGTCCCCTACGCAAAAGAAAGCTTTCTCAGACATGGCTCCCTTAAAGTATCAAACGTTCTTTTGAAGCAAAGCCCGTATTTACTGACGTGTGATGTTGGCCTTTAAACAACAACAAAGAAACTTTCTTTTTGGCTAACAAACTCTAAAGAAATAATTTTAAATATTGTCGACAAAAGGATTTCAGCTCACCTAACTTGGGAAGGGGTGGAACATGCATTACGCTTAGGTGTTCCCCCACATGAAAGTTTTTATTCTTTACTGCTTCAATCTCCCTATATGCACCATCAGTCAGATATAATTCAAGAAGCAGTGTTGAAAAAAAAAGCCAGTTTCGCCGCAAGGGGGAAGCAATAAATGCGATACGAACAACTCAGAGCGCAACGCTGAGAACGACAAGCAGATCGAAATGGGCAGCACGCTACTCTAGCACAAATGACGCATGAAAACAACACACACACGCCGAGAGCGAACTAACAACGTTGACGGCTCGACACTTTATGTGCTCTGTATAAAAACACGATGCACGAAACGTAATCAGTGGTACAGACGAGTGCAAACTAACAAGTGTCCCAGTTGTTACTTCGCCATGTAGAAAAGCGTGCTCTTTTCGCAAACAGGAGCGAAGTGAACTTTGTGCGCCCGGCAACCACAACGCAATCGTTCCAGCGAAAGCCGAAGGCGCACGATTCTCCGCCGCCGCAGGATGGGCACGCGCGCACGAGCGTCTACGCACCCACTCCTCCATGGGGCAAAGTACGCGTTGGAGATGAGCGCGCGCCCGCGCATGGCGACGAGCTGGGCGCCGGGTGCACTGATTGCGCCATCTTGCGGGTGATGCTGAAAACACCCTAATTTTTCGGAGATTCTTGCTGTTGGAGCAAGCCCTTCGTGGCTCAGTGGTTAACGCTACGCACTCAGGAGCGAGAGATCGGACGTTCGATTACACGCGCCAGTGTCTCCTTCTTCTAGGTTAATTTTCTCTCTCTCTCTCTACACACACACACACACACACACACACACACACACACACACACACACACACACACACATATATATATATATATATATATATATATATATATATATATATATATATATATATATATATATATATATATATATAGTAAGTTTTGTCGGGTGTTTTCACACGGCCGCTAAGCCAAGAGTGATCCTTTAGATAGCAACGAAGGATCTTTACCACATAATATGCGTACTAATGGTATTAACCCAATTTCACGGCTCATGCCCGTCTGTGGCACATACCCAAGCAATTGCCTTGTCGACTAGGTCAAGAGAGCGAGAGAGAATAAACTTTTATTATTAACAAATGCACACTGAGCCTTCCTTGGATGGGGCCCTCAGTCCAGGGCTCCATTGCCTTGCGCGACCCTGCAAGCCCTCTGAACCAGCTGGTGCTTTTCCTGCCGGCGTAAGCGGAGCAGTGCAGACTCCCAAGAGGAAGGGGTGGGGTTGAGAATGGGAGGAACGCCCTGTGGGGCAGAGCGTTCCCACGTGGAGTGGTACACTGTCGGTACGGATACACAGAAGGGGCAGTAGGAGGGGTAGAAAGTCGGATGAAAGCGATTTAGCATATAGAGGCAAGGAAATGAATTGGTATGTAGTTGCCACTAAGAGACTAGGTCAATTGACCATGATTTTCTGTTGTTTATTGTAATAATACTTGTTGGGGGCTCGACGTCCCGGAATCACCATATGAATATGAGAGACGCCATAGTGGAGGGCTCCGGAAATTTCGACCACCCAAAGTTCTTTAACGTGCGCCTAAATCTAGGCACGCGAGCCTTAGACATTTTCACCTCCACTGATGCTGCAGCCACCGCGGCCGGTATTTGTCCCCGTGACCTGCATCACCCGCCTGATGCCTCAGCCTTTGGACCACCGTGGCGGGTTTTCCCAATGTTTATTGAGCAGAAAAATACGGACGCTTTCTACCAACGATGCAAAGACCAATAGAGAAACACTACGCTCTATAAACTGCTCTTCATAAGTTGTTCCCGTAGATGCTCTGTGGATGTCGTCCCCAGAGCAAATTTCTCTCACATATTTTTTTTTATCCTCGCACAGATGTGATTTGCAGATAGCAACACGTCTATGTTTAATTTTACACTGAGCGTTGTGTTATTTTGGTGGGTTTTGGGTTTACAGGGAGCAGACACTTTGTCAAGCTTTTATGCCTTTTCGCCGGTCCCCTAGGCAAAAAGGCAATTTGTACATCTCGTGCTTTTATTGTACCGCTTTTCCGTTTGCCTAAAGGATACTTCAACTTCAACTTATATAAGAACGCTTCGTTCCAATATTTTGTGTTGGCGGACTGAATGATCATTGCTGGGCAGCGTGTAGTGTTGATATCAGGAATTGTATTTTTTTTTCAGGAGAAGTCTGGCTTCGACATACTCGAATTTTTATGATCGCGTGACTGTCCCTTCGTTGGAAAATGGTAGAGGCCTGTGGTCGTTGTATTGAATACGACGCCATGCGGATTCAGCCCGAAAACAGTGTTTCCGGAAATGGCCACTAATTTTGATAAAATTATGCACTTACATTAGGAGTGTGCCTTGCGTAATTTCAAATATATGAAAGAAATAAAAAGAAATTAAGAAAGAAATGCAGTAGTTCCAACCCGTCAAGCATTGCTTGCTCTTTTGCCGGTAGAGGAAAGGCTCCTAATCCTGTTATTAACGCTCTCATCAATATATTTCCAATAAACTTCTACAACATGTCCACTTCTTAATTTTTAGTTCACACAGAAAGCAATTCATGAGCCGACTTCAACGACCATAATCCTCAATGTAAATTTCGCCAATGATAAATATCGGGCTCGTTCTTTAGAGTTATTTCATTTGGCCAGTGAAGAAGTGTTTTCTTTTTCCCCACGACGCCCAAGTTAACTGCGTTTCAGCGGAAAACGCACCTCTTACCTGGCAAGTGTACAAGTTGCAAGTAGATGTAATCATTCCAGGAAAGTTGAGGCGCAAAAATACACCCCGACAACAAGGGGAGGTAACAGTCTACCTGGAAGTTCCTCGTGTTTTAGCCGCCACAGTCACACTCCCGCACTGCTGCGAATATATTTGTCTAATTGCCCGTTTCTTTGTTACTTTTTAGAAACGCAAAACGTTTACCCGGTTCCTCATATCAGTGTTTACCACTGCGGCAAACATGCTTATAGAAACTAGAATGACTGTGTATATTCGGCTGTACCAAGTAAGCTAAATAGAAGTTATGAATAAATCCAAGGTTTACACCGCAATTAATATAAAAATTGCACCGTATTTTTAAAACCGTTTCTGATGTCAATCACTCGTCAAGCCTTCGCTTCGTACTATCACATTTATGGTATTTTTCTGAAAACGTCAAAGCTGTAACAGTTAGCTTGCTTAACGTGGAATATTGTGTGGCATTGCACATGTGCAAATACGTGCCACAATAAGAAGTATGCATGTTCACAAAAGCGTCTTGTGCTTAAAATTTTGCTAATGGAATGTCGCAGCCAATCATGATGGGAGACATGACATTAGCGAAGCCGGTTGACCAATTGGGGAGCGCACTTGCGTAAAGAGATATAATGTGAATTTGGACGGAGATTGTCAAATGGTTCCAGAAAATGGTTGCAGAAAGGGGTGTACTACTCAGTCAGACACATGTGCCTTTTTGTCACCCCTCTTAGACAGGACAAGGGTACACATTATTTGTCTTTGTCTAAATTAAACTTGAAAGTTGAAAGCTGAAAGGGCAAAACACACGATGCATTGGCAACTAAGCTATACTTGCGTACGTGACTGAGCTTATATTTTAACAGAATGACACCTTATAGCTTAACTCGCTGAAACTAATTTCCTGCGCTTACAAATGAATGTCGCAAGCAGAATAAACATCCCATGTTATAAACGGAAAATCCATTGCATCACCACTCAGCGTTCTAGTATAAAGACAGCTGTGTTCGTTAAGGGCGCTTGGTCTCTTGAAACATTCTTGCTTGCTTTGCATGATTCGACTTTAATTAGTCGTAATTGTTTCTCGGGCAAGAGAAACGTGTTGATTAACTTCATTAGCAACTTATATACATTACACAACGTCGCATGGGATGCTAGGCACTTGTATACACTAGACTTGTTTGGCGATGAAACTTGTGTACACTATAAGCAAGTCCACATGTTACACAAGACGTATATATACTAGGCAAGCCTGCATGTTACTTTAAGCACTCGCATTCACTAGACATGTTTCCTGAGTCAAGTTGCATACACGAAGCGAGTTCGCATGCTACATTAGGCACTTGTATACACTTCTCGAATGTGGCACGGGGCATCATGTATATACGAGCCAACTTGCGTGCAGTAGGGAAGTTTCATGTTACACTAGGCATTTAGATGCATTAGGCATGTTTCACAAGGCAGCTAGTATCCTGACGAAGCCACATAGTGTGTAAACATACCTGATTATCCGGTATGATGGAAGTATCCGAGAACTTTGCGAAGACCACCGATGTCGCGAACTGTTTTAACCCTACGAGTGAGTCTGAGACATCCGCACACTGGTGGTTAAGAGACAGAACACACTCAGCCAAGTGTGACGTCAACAACGTCACTCGATGCAGGTGCCGGTAACAGCTCGCCATTCGCTGGCGGTGAGAGGAATTAACGCCAAAGAAAGAGAGACACTTTTCCTCTTTGTCGCCATGCCCCTCGGTCCACTCTTGGCCGCTCAACACACACACAAGGCACATACGCTTACGCATCTGAGGAAGGCCCCGAGCCATCAGTCCAGCGAGAAAACAAAAATTTATAAATACACGCGTCATAGGCGTGCGCGTTCTCCCGGCTACCTGTCTCGCTCCTTTCTTCCTCCTCGAGTCATTCGAATAGGCGCCTAGACAACTCGCCAAGGTCACGGACGCGTACCGGATAACGTGCAAGGGTGTCTTCATTACACGGGGCGCGGACGCTGTTTTAACTGCCGCATTTAACAACGGCGTGATGCCTGGTGGTCTCATTAAACGGCGTGACGTACATAGAGGTCGTCTGACTCATAGCGGCGAATTCGTACAGAAAACAACCACTTCTCGGACGTGGTGCTCGGGAGAGTTGATTTCTGACCACTCGGCTTGATGCCGAGACACCTTTGCAATTTTGACGTTGTCTTTTTTTTTTTTACTTAGGTAAGTCCAGCCTACTCGTAATAGCCTTGCAGTCTGTGCCTATGAGGTTTCTAATGGCTTTGGAATGGAAGTGCACGGCTTTGCAGCACTTCTGACCATGTCGTTGAATGACGAGTCGGAGGTTGGAGGAAGGTAGGAAGGCTTGAATATTGCAACGTGGGTTACGGCTGCTTGATGCAATCTTTCTAACGCGGGTGGAGATGATCGATTTTCGTATTTCATTTCTAAGGCAATTTTATCATCATTCGAACGCCGCCGCACTCACGAGACGTTGTACGAAGCATTGCTCAATGTTTTAATTATGTGAAGTTAGCCAAGCAGCATCGTGCAGGGAACGGTACGATGTTAACATCACTAGCTAGTCATATAATGCACGTGTATAACAAATCAGCTTAGTTGAATGCGATGATTGATAAAGTTAAAAGAGTGCTTTAATTAACAGGACATTGATGAGTTGGTTTGTTGGCGACTTGTTTCAATGGTTTTCACTTTTTTCATAGAGATATACTCGAAAACTTCAGTACAATAGGCATAGCTGGTTGCGCATGTGGACGATGCGGGTTCACTTTGAAGATGTGGACAGGAAAGACAAGGGACACACAGATTTCGTACAGTAGTCGGCCTTGTGCAGCTAATTTTCTTATTTCCACTCACGCCATAAATTTTGCCTCTTCTTTAATTTCTTCCTTGTGCTGAGGTCGAAAGTGCCGTTACACCTTCACTTGAATATGATTTTCCTCGTTTCAGTCATTCTTTCGTATGTACCATTAAAAAAGCTGAGCAAATAATTTTTCTCAGCATAGCCTTAGCAGTGGATTCTTGCCAATGGGAACAAAATTGAGTAAAAATGTATTTCGTGAACCCAGGGCATTATTCCCATCTCACTTTTCCTGCTTCAGTTTCTCGCTTGTTCTATATCTGATAATATGTTCGTTAATGGTTTTGACTGAATCGACAGAACAGTACGGCTGTACGTTATCATTTACAGGATTTTATTGCATAATAAGTTCGATTTTCTTTAGTAAAACACTGTTAAAGTGAACTGCATAAGTCTCATCTCCATGATATGCAGTCGAGAGAAGTGGTGGGATGGCTTCAAGCGAATGTTTTTTTTTTTTGTTCGGGCTCAGCAAAGGAGCCCACAACGATGACGGCAGCAGAAGCAACCGAGAATGGCGATTCTCTCCGAGTGATTGAGATACGAAATTAACAAGGCATCTCGTAGCAAACAGATAGATAGATAGATAGATAGATAGATAGATAGATAGATAGATAGATAGATAGATAGATAGATAGATAGATAGATAGATAGATAGATAGATGGATAGATAGTTAGATGGATAGATAGTTAGATGGATAGATAGATATATAGATAGATGGATAGATGGATAGATAGTTAGATGGATAGATGGATAGATAGTTAGATGGATAGATAGATAGATAGATAGATAGTTAGATAGATAGATAGATAGATAGTTAGATAGTTAGATAGATAGATAGATAGATAGATAATAGATAGATAGATAGATAGATAGATAGATAGATAGATAGATAGATAGATAGATAGATAGATAGATAGATAGATAGATAGATAGATAGATAGATAGATAAATAGATAGAATGGGTTGGATTCCATAGCGAAATTTCATTTTTTTTCGGAGTGTTGGTGATTACGTAGTGCTTCGCGGTCACTCCTTAAGCCCGACAAGATAATTTGAATAAATATTCAAAGAATTTACTTCTTCACAGTTTATTCACGGAATTACAGCTTCGACAGAACAAAGCGATAATCGGCTCTATAGGGCAACATATAGTATACTACATTGGATATTGCTGAATAAATACCACACAAAAACAATTGGGAACCAAGCGAATAATAAACATACAGTGCATGATATGTGCACTGCACATAAGCGTCACGCATATATGACTGTGTGCAAGGACACGAGAAAATAGACAAAAAAAGTGCACACGGTCACTCACGCACTCGCCCATTATATGACTCGAAGTGAAAGCCAGCTTTTATTTTTTACTTTCTAGGTATTGATCCGCTCCTGTCACCCATCTGAAAGTTTCTGAACCTAAGGCGGTTTTGCCCTGCTTCCAGAAAAGGAGGCATCGGGAAGTTTCCGCACCGCACCTAGCTTTGCACCGACCCTGTCCTCTCTACAATGTGCAGTGAACATTTCTAGCAGCCGCTCTAGCTTACGAAGATTAGAGACCGATGACGGCAGAAACCATTCTTGAATGCCGACCTCAGAGGCCATCGCGGGGCAAGGCGACGAAGGTGGTGCTCAACTTATTGAAGGCAATAGACTTGCACCGGCGACTACAGACCTAAAGTGTTAGGACGACTGTGGAGTGAGACTGAGTGTGTGTGCTGTTTCCTCTCTTCCTTGCTTCTTCGTCATTAGATCTCCTCCCTTTCACTTGTGCAGGGTAGCATACCTGTCTTTACAGCTCTAGTTAACATCCCTGGATCTTCTTCCCTCCTTTTCCTTCGTTCCCCTTCCTGTGATCACTCTACTTTTGACCAAGCGAGGTTGCCATGGAATGACATCAGCACGCGACGTTACGTTGTGAGACAGCACAGTGACACAATGATGATGTCATAATGGCGTCTCGAAATTCGTTAATCTGTCACGTCATGAAGATGTCATACGGTGGTGTAACCACGTGCTGAGGATTTCTTGCGCCACTCGTGTCTATGGTGCCGACACCGGTCAATTTTCTCGTTCCACGAGGCGTCTAAGGCGGTCGCCTTAAAAGAACGAAAAAAAAAGAAAAGAAAAAGGGCCATTCATCATGATTGAAAGCGAGCAGTGAGGAGCGAAGTCATTGCGAGTGTTGTGGAAATATCGAACTCATCTCATCCTTAGCTGAAAATGACAGGGGTATGCAATTGTAATGTCTCTGGCAGACTGTCGCTTACTCCATTGTACACCAACGAGGCGACATCGGGATACAAGCTGTAGGCGTGTCATAATCGAAAGAAGGAGAAAGACACTCGGAAATGTACGTTCCCGGAATGTAAGACGTCGGAAGTCCATGCATGTCTAATGTAAGTGGCTGGGGGCAACTTCGTCCTAATGGTCTGGAAAAGGCGTATAGTTGGGGTGACTTTTTTTTTGTTCCCAATACAGCACAGACAGAGTGACTAAAGAAATTACAAAATAATGTTCGCAGTGAATAAAGAAGTAGCAAAGCAAACCTTAATTAGTAAGTGAGAGCACAACTGTATACAATATCATCAGAGAACGTATCGGGGACAGCTTCGTGGAAAGACGAAGATGCAATGTGGTATTGAAGACAATTCAAGCTGGTTAGAGCACATTAAAAAGGACGAACTCAAGGTAAACTCAGCCTCTCCCCAAATTTTTTTCAATTTTGCATGTGTATGCACACATACAAAAGCATAAAGTGTGATTGAACCTCGTCGAAAAAAGAAGTTATGGCTGATAAGTAGTAGTAGTAATGGCTGGTAACTGGCTAGTAACACCGCACCACCATGGTCGAAATGCAGCTTCATTAAAAACTTTTAAACTATACTTCTACTGGGTACCCTCGCATGAAAATGTCAAAATAGCTAATAAATTTCTTGCTGTCTATCAGAGCCACATGATGACCACAGGAATACGGTACGGTTCCATACTTGCAGTATGGCAAATCGGCTTTAAGCACCATATATTAACAACAAAATTTTAAAGCCGCAAAAAAAGTGAAGCTTTAGTGTGAGAGCATATCATGACTTTTTGTTTCCTATAAGAAGGAACGTATTTTTATGTGGGACATCACTCGTCAATGTTTATCGGTGGGTTTGTCCAGCAACAAGCAGGCTGACCCTGACCAGTACAATGCGAAACAATGCCAAGTCAACCAAATTTATTTATTTATTTATTTCGACATACTGCCAATCCCTTCAGGGATTTTAGCAGGAAGGGCGTGAACATAAAAATTCGAATACGTACACAATAAAGACATACATCGCGATAAAGTACAGAATGAAACTAACAGAATCGGATCATTTAACAATTTCAGATCAAAGAAGGCATAAAACATTAGTGTAAAGAAAAGTTGTCAGAAGAAAATAAATGCAGCGACTTGATTGACACATTGGTTGACATATTGGCATATTTATCAAGAAACACAACAAGAAATTACAGCAATAAGAAACTACCCTACAATACGGCGAAGTATTTCAAGGAAGGGCAAATTTATACACACTGAAAAACAGAAATATGTTCAAGAATCAACAGATCGATTTCTCTTCACCTGAATTCAGTATTAAAAATTGCTTAAAGAAAAAATATGATGACATGACACTTCGCTTGTACAATGTTCACACGAACACTCATATTAAAATCAACCAGGTGATTCCGTTTGCATAATACAAAGTTCATTTTCGACAAGGGTTAGAAATTTTGCTAATTCGGTAGTGCTGGAGATACTCGGATCCAGTTTATTCCATTCATTAGTGGCTATCGGAAAGAATGAGTACCTAAAGCAGTTTGTGTTGGAGTATTCGTTAAGTCTCATTGGGTGTTTTTGGCGTGTTGTTCTA